TTGTTTTCGAAAGTAAGTAGTACTCTAGCAATTGTTTAAACTAAAATAACATTAGAATGAAACAAAGGTAACTTGGTTTTAAAGCTAAATAATGTATAATAATAACTCCCCCCCCCCCCCCCTTTCCCGTTAATGTTCATTCTAAGAAACGTATTGTATTGTGTCTTTTGGTGTAGAGAAGTATTTCAGTTTCCGCGACCCAATTTTGATTAAGAACAAGTTCTTTTCCTGATTATCAGATTTTGCTCACATAATGTTACTGGTCTATAAATAATATGCAGCTGACACTATATATCAAATATGTGTCAAGGTGTTGGAAATATCCATTACTACAGACACCTGGCAACTGGTCAACCTTACTACTGACACATGGAGATTGGTCACCCTTACTACCGACACCTGGAGATTGGTCACCCTTACTACTGACATATCGCAACTGGTCACTCTTACTACCGACATATGGCAACTGGTCACCCTTACTACCGACATATGGCAACTGGTCACTCTTACTACCGACATATGGCAACTGGTCACCCTTACTACTGACATATGGCAACTGGTCACCCTTACTACCGACATATGGCAACTGGTCACCCTTACTACCGACATATGGCAACTGATCACTCTAACTACCGACACATGGCAACTGGTCACCCTTACTACCGACACATAGCAACTGGTCACCCTTACTACTGACATATGGCAACTGGTCACTCTTACTACCGACATATGGCAACTGGTCCCCCTTACTACCGACACATGGCAACTGGTCACCCTTACTACCGACATATGGCAACTGGTCACCATTACTACCGACACATAGCAACTGGTCACCCTTACAACCGACATATGGCAACTGGTCACCCTTACTACCGACATATGTCAACAGGTCACCCTTACTACCGACACATGGCAACTGATCACTCTAACTACCGACATATGGCAACTGATCACTAACTACCAACACATGGCAACTGATCACTCTAACTACTGACACATGGCAACTGATCACTCTAACTACCGACATATGGCAACTGGTCACCCTCACTACCGACACATGGCAACTGGTCACCCTTACTACTGACATATGGCAACTGGTCACCCTTACTACTGACATATGGCAACTGGTCACCCTTACTACTGACATATGGCAACTGGTCACCCTTACTACCGACACATAGCAACTGGTCACCCTTACTACCGACACATGGCAACTGGTCACCCTTACTACCGACATTTGGCAACTGGTCACCCTCACTACCGACATATGGCAACTGGTCACCCTTACTACTGACATATGGCAACTGGTCACCCTTACTAATGACATATGGCAACTGGTCACCCTTTCTACCGACACATGGCAACTGGTCACCCTTACTACCGACACATGGCAACTGGTCACCCTTACTACCGACATATGGCAACTGGTCACCCTTACTACTGACACATGGCAACTGGTCACCCTTACTACTGGCATATGGAAACTGGTCACCCTTACTACCGACATATGGCAACTGGTCACCCTTATTACCGACACATGGCAACTGGTCACCCTTACTACCAACACATGGCAACTGGTCACCCTTACTACCGACACATGGCAACTGGTCACCCTTACTACCGACACATGGCAACTGGTCACCCTTACTACCGACATATGGCAACTGGTCACCCTTACTACCGACATATGGCAACTGGTCACCCTTACTTCTGACACATGGCAACTGGTCACCCTTACTACTGACATATGGCAACTGGTCACCCTTACTACTGACATATGGCAACTGGTCACCCTTACTACCAACATATGGCAACTGGTCACCCTTACTACCGACACATGGCAACTGGTCACCCTTACTACCGACATATGGCAACTGGTCACCCTTACTACCGACACATAGCAACTGGTCACCCTTACTACCGACATATGGCAACTGATCACACTAACTACCGACACATGGTAACTGATCACTCTAACTACCGACATATGGCAACTGGTCACCCTCACTACCGACATTTGGCAACTGGTCATCTTTACTACCGACACATGGCAACTGGTCACCCTTACTACCGACACATGGCAACTGTTCACCCTCACTACCGACATTTGGCAACTGGTCACCCTTACTACCGACATATGGCAACTGGTCACCCTTACTAATGACACATGGCAACTGTTCACCTTTACCACCGACATTTGGCAACTGATCACCCTTACTACTGACACATGGCAACTGGTCACCCTTACTACCGACACATGGCAACTGGTCACCCTCACTACCGACATTTGGCAACTGGTCACCCTTACTACCAACACATGGCAACTGGTCACCCTTACTACCGACACCTGGCAACTACCGACACCTGGCAACTGGTCACCCTTACTTCCAACATATGGCAAATTCTCAGACTTAACTGTATGGCTGTTATCCAAGCAACATTTCAAAATCAGACAACATTATGCAGATCATAATATTTGTGTGGATTCTGGCATGCTAACACACTAGGATCCTAGTCAGAACCTCTGAGTTTGTGCAGCATGGAGATTCTGTTGGTATTGTCTAAAGGTAGCAGGTCCTTTCCAGAATACCTCACTCCAATCACTAACTGCATTAAGGTCTCAATGTTCTTTGCCAATTCCCCTGCCCCATACATTTTCATACCCATAAATAGTTGACTCTTTAAATGTACAGTGTAGATGGTCTTTGAAACTTATTAACAAAACATAGGGACCTGGACATTAGCAAACAGAAATATCTCAAAGAAACACAATTTCTGCATTAGTCGCTTGACAGCATTAATGCCAAGCTTACCTTCTTTGTAAGGCATATTCAGTATAAATTTTTTCCTGTGCTCTAACATGCCCATAAAGAAAGAAAAGACAAGTAACAACTGTAATGCACCATGCATGTCATAAAAGGCAAGTAGGCAAGGTTGTCATGATACTGACTCCCCATCCCCTCATCCATGACCCACCTACCCACTCACTGTAGCTGCAAATTGGAAATATAATGACAAATCTACACCCCCCCCCCCTCCCTCCCCCACACACACGTATGCTTGCACACACATAAACACAACTGGGTGAGAGTTGGTTGAGAGCCTAAGTTCCATTAGTGATATAAAATGCACAAGCAGAAGAAGAAGAAGAGCAGGAGGAGGAAGAAGAAAAAAGAAGAACAAGAAGGAGAAAGAGGATGAGGAGAAGGAGGATGGGGAGAAGAAGAAGATGAAGAAGAAAAAAAAAAAAAAGATGAAGAGGATATGGACAAAGAAGAAGCAGAAGAAGGAGAAGAAGAAGAAGAAAAAGAAGAAGAAGAAATAAAGAAGAAGAAGAAAAAGAAAAAGAAGAAACAGGAGAGGAATTGTTTTGTGTGTGCCTATAAGATATATCTAACAGCTGTTCCACCCTCTAAGTACTTTGATTACGTCATTTGGCCATACCTGACACATGTTGATCTAATCAGATAGAGAGCAGATAAGCAGTGTCTATCATATGAAGATAGCTGCCCGCTGCATATTCAAACAATGTAACTGTTAAGTCAGATTATGAATTACAAGTGTGTATTGTCTTCTCTGTTTATATGGTATTACCACAAGTGTAGGTCTCTAATCGAGCAGTGGCTGGCCAAACGGCTAAAAACAAAGGGATCCATGCACAAGCCAGGTTCAAATCCTCGTTAAGGTTGGGGATATTTGTTTCTGTGAGGGCAAAAAGGAAATCCTACTCTTCAAAGTATATGCGACAGAACTAGCCAAGTGACCACAAATGCTCCAGCTTAAAGACCCTCTCCCATCCCCACCATTCTACACAGCAAAAGTGGTCACTCCAGGTAGTAATAGAATTAGTTTTCTGACGCTATTTATCATATCTTTGCTGCCATCTTTTATTTCTTTGCTTTCAGAATGTTCAGCTTGTGCACTTTTTTCATAACATTACTGTGATCGATCTGTTGCTGGTGGATAGATCAAATTAGAGGTGTGATGCAAGGGCAAGAAATGTAACTGGCCTGATTAATGCACCTAGCACAAGTAACACATTTCCTCAAAATTCAAAATTCTGCATATTGCTAGCTCATCCTATGTTTGCAGCATCTTCTTTCACTTTACACTTCATAATATGTTCTGCAAGGCTGTCCCTTAAAGAGCCCATTAAGAACTGAATAATCATCTAATGGGTCCAATCTGTACTCAAAGTTGGGAGAAACTAAAGGGGAACTCCCCCCCCCCCCCCCCCCAAAAAAAAGTCACTTTTTTGTGTGTCAATTTGAATCAGAGAAGTGATCACAAGAAAAACTTTACTCTCCAACTGCTTTTATTCCACAGAAACTGTTGAGTTCTGGTGCAACAACATCCTATTGTCTCTTAAGACCCTATTCTCAGTTTGTGTCCTATTCAACACCAGTGTCTTTTCCTTTCTTGATTTAATAAAATTTCATAAGCTGTATCCCAAAGCGATTTTGTGATTTTGTCAACAATCAAATTCATATAATGCAAGACATCGCCCGTGATGAATGAGATGTTCAATATATGGAAGTGGAGTTAAACAATCGTAAGCAGGACATGACCATTTCTTGGGTGAGCCTAGTACCAGAGCACCATGTTTTGGCTCTGGGTGTATGGAAGCCTCCTTGGATAGCAGGGAGCTCTCACGTTCTGCAACTACCTTCTCCTGAGGGCTGACCTGGACCTGCCTGATGGGGAGCACCCCCTGTGACCTTGGAAACAAACAAATAAATGACCAGACAACAATGAGACTGCAATGTCCCACAAAACTAACTGGAAAGGCTAAGCGGTCAATAAACGTCTGCAAAAGTCAGATGTGCTGACCGAAAGGCGCAAATATCATATCCGTATTGTAAATGGACACAATGCAATCACATCTTCGGATGAACAAAGAAGAAGAAGAAATGTATATAATGATTTAATGATCACAAATGCAGACAAACCAAACCTTTAAATGCTATCAACAGAAAATGATTATCAAAATGCGTACTCACCACTTCTGTGAGAAGATCGCTAGCAAAACCATAAATGATAATTGGTGTGGCATTCTCTGTGCACTGCTGAATGATTTCAGCTACCTGATCTTCTGAAGCTGATGGGGACACAACAACCTGTGCTCCCAATCTCAGCAGCTGATGGTTCTGAGTGACTTCCATCACTGCCAAGTCATTGGCATTGTCTTTGTCATGAATTTCTAAATCTGTCTGAGGTATGGTAATCCAATGGCCATTATAGGCCTCCAGGTTGTCCACCAGATCATAGTCATCCGGGAGAGTCAGGCTGACGGTGTTTGTACTGCCGTGGTAGATGCGGACCATTCTCATTTTTACATTCGACGTCTCCTCCAGTAAAGGGAAGACATTTTTGTTAAACAGCTCATTGACAATGCGAGACTTCGCATATGCAGTCTGTCCAAAAATAATGATGGTTGGAGGGTGATCAATGATAGAAGCAATTTCTGTTGCCTCTTCCTTCAACAGTTCAGCACTGATGATCTGAGCTGGAAAGACAAAATCAGAGTGATGAATGTCATAAACTGTGATGAATTGACTCAAATAACATATTCTTCTCTTTAAATATACATAACATTTTAGCTAATATATTATTTCTGTGCTATAACAATAATAATAATGTTTTATCTGATTTACTATTCTTCTGTATTCTGAGGCCTGGAGCCCTCTGTTATCTGCCATTCCCCTATATGCCCTAACAACTGCAGTCTATTAGTCCTTATGTTATCAGTAATCAGAGGTGATTTAGATACTGTGAATTTTGTTGGTTTCTCACTCTCAGTTCTCTGCTGTTTGCATCTTTGATGGGTCCAAAGATTCATCATAAGGCTCTGTTCTCAAATTCTGTAACATGGATCTTTTTTTTTTTTTTTTTTCAATTGTCCTCCAGGTTTCAGAACATTATGAGATAACTGGTCTTATTAGTGTTTTAAATATTGTGATCTTGGTATGACAAGATAAAACATTTGATCTAAAACAAATGTTGCAGGAGAAAGTATACCTTATTTCCAGCTGCTAACATATATATTATAAACTCACAAAGTCAAAATTACAATAAACTAACAAAGAATGATGTGGCAACAAACATTCATCAGCAAATAACTAAGAAATAAGACACAACAAACGTCTTTATTTTCTTCAGACATCACTATTATCAATACAATAATTATTTCACAACTATACAAAAGGTATAAAGTTAATATTAATAAATCAAATATTTTTAAAGCATTAGGTAATTAACTTTACTGCAACAGTCGTTGTGAACTAGCCATATGAATCCTAACTGACAAGGTTTGAAAAGGATAATAATTCAAAAAATAATGCATTCATATATAAAATAAACAATGACCTTATAAATCAAATATGAAATGGCAAAAGTATATGCTGGAAACAATTGACTTAACTCTTTAAGGCCCAAACAACGGTGTGAGCGTTGTTTGAGAAGTTCCGTTTTACTGAAACAACAGTGTCATCGTTGATCGTGTGTCCCTTACATTTTGCTTCGCATACGCCTTCGTACTAGATTCTAATGTTTGGAGGTGCGATTAAATTATTCAGGGGAAGTCACTCTGCCGAAATCCTTTCAGTTTCCTTTCCTGGACTAAACCACGTGTGGATAATTTAAGAGAAAAAAAAAGCGACATTTTTTTCAACAGTTCATTTTCTTAGTTCGTTTTTGAGTGCCATGAATACCAATGTTCCAACCACAAGTACATGTCACAGAATGCGTCTTTCTGCGGCTGAAGCTCTGAAACTGTTTCAGTCAGATGTTTTTAACTGTGATAATGATAATAAAAATTTAGATTTTTCTGAAAGTGACTGAATTTTCACCAGTGAAGCTGAGCGATCAGCTGTTCAGAATCTAGAGATTCTGATGAGTTGATTACACAGACAATGTCCCATACTACCCTATTTATGGTGTAAGAGAAGGAAAGTGTTCTAAACAAAGAGACAGTACTATACTATGGCTAAGCTACATTGAAATCATCGCAGCTACAGTCTGTAAATAACTGTACAAAGTAAATAGTAAATAGTGTGTGTGTAATGGCTCATTTTCTGCCATTTTTTTCTCTGAAATTTTGCTTAGCACTTGGTGAGAACTAAGAGCCTCTGAGTACTAAACTAACCCAGAAAGTTATCATAACTTTGGAATATGTTAGGAATTTGAACAAACTTTGAAGTTTTGTTCTCAAATTTGGATATTTACTACTCTTGTGGCTGCAAAACCATGGTAAGTGAAGAATTTTTTGTGAAATGTTGTCGTTGTGAAATTAACACCTGCTGAATTCTTATTTCCCACTAACTATAACAAAATTAAACAAACACTTATCATCAGATTCAAAATGTACATTCATTTCTCTTTAAAAAAATATATACTTTTATAGGGATTAGAAGTATATTACAATCTCTATAGCCTTTCTAGTACACCAACCCCTCTACCATTTTTGTAAAGGGAAACTAGGCTATTTTTTTATTTTTTATTTGCTCATGAGTTTAGCTCCAATCCACGACGCATGAGCGGCATATGGGAAACTCTCGGCGGTGGCAATATAGTCCCCGGAAATTCGCAATTCAGCAATATAGTCACCGGACATGCGCAATTGACAGGTGACTGAGATCCTGTTAGGGTATATTTTCTGCCTCGATAATTTGGGACCGTTATTCGGAAGATAGCCGGAAATTAATGTGGGCCAAGTCTGTCAAAATTCATGGGCCTGAAAGAGTTAATATATCCAGCGTATTGCCCTAAGGGTGGAACAAGCTTTTGACTACAACCAGAAATAACAAATCACTATGAAAAATACAAGTAAACACACAAATGGAATGTGTTGACCATTAACAGTTGTATAATAACATAGAGATTAGCCATATGTCAGAAAACATTAGACAAGAAAGGTAACACAAGACAAGAAAGGTAACACAAGACAAGAAAGGTAACACAAGAGAAGAAAGGTAACACAAGACAAGAAAGGTAACACAAAACAAGAAAGGTAACACAAGACAGGAAAGGTAACACAAGACAAGAAAGGTAACACTAGACAAGAAAGGTAACACTAGACAAGAAACGTAACACAAGACAAGAAAGGTAACACAAGACAAGAAAGGTAACACAAGACAAGAAAGGTAACACTAGACAAGAAAGGTAACACAAGACAGTGAGAGAGCAAGATGAACATGGAAAGCTCAAAAATGTAAACACCAGCTTCAATAAACAATCAGAGGACAGGGAGTGAGTGAGTTAGTCCAGTCCTGTTTATAATTGGAGCAGAAGAAAATTAAATAAACTGACTGTTTTTCCACTAACAGCTGCTGCTACGTGAAACACAAAATTTTGACACTCCACCACACAAAACAGCTGCATTCCAGATGCCAATCCAACACAAAACCGTTGGACTTTCTAAAAAGTTTATATTAAATAATCCATATGCAGAAACACACCCAACGGCTATAGTACCATGTACTAGTTCTACGCTGGTGTATGCTGCTGTCAGGGGCGGGTATTAATTACGGTAGAACATTCAGTAAACTGACCTGTCGTATGTAGCTGATAAACACTTTCATTAAAAATAAAAATTAATATTCTAAAATAAATAAATAAACTTTATAAACAAATAAAAAAAGTACAAAATCAATGCACTGGAAGTCAAAGTGCGCGGAAAAGTACGTACTGGCAATCAATTTCGCATTATAATAAATGAATTAGCAACATAATATTTCATTTGGACGCATTCCTGTCTAAACTAAAACTGAAATACTTACTTCCATCGAATCGTCCTGAACTGTTGATGTCCTCAAAGCATCTTTTGGTCTCAAAGAAAATCTGCTTGAGGCGGCTGGTCTGGTTACAAAACCTGCTCAGTTCGCTAGACAAGTTAGCATTCATGTTGTTTATAACCTTCGATTTCATTGGTAACTATTAAGGCATCTGTAAGCTCTTCCTACACAAAAACAGACGACGAAGTGAGAATGTGTCCGACAGACACTGTAGGCGCTGTCAAACGTTAAAAGTTGTGATGTATTTTGTCAGACGTCCAGACTTCAACTGTAGCAGAAGCAGAGACGAAGAATATAGGCTGTGACCTTACGATTACAACTTCCGGGTCAAGGGTGTGTTATTTTGGTGCAGGTCAGCCAGGGTGAGGTTGAACTAGGTGGCAATTCTAATGTTTTTAAAGACTGCGATGACGATGAACTGGAGTTCTGACTCTTTATGTACTAGCCAACTTACTTTGCATTTATTGAAATCTCTTTAAATTGTATGCATATTATTACAGTCCCATGCTTATGTTTTACTCTATCTGCTAACCAGCTGCGCGGAGATGTGGTGACAAACTGATTATGGTCTGAGTTCACGCTCTGGAAAAAAGGGAGAAAAAAAAAAAAGGGGGGGGGGGGCAGAAAAGCCACATATTTCCCAGATTTACGGTATCTGTCGTGGAATCAAAGCCAAAGGCTTGCGATATCCATAGTTTCGAAGAAAGCGGTTTAAAACTCATAGTTTCTGGAAGGAAAAGAATCTACTTTTTCAGTCAAGTAATTTAACTGCTTCCAGTCCCAAACAGTTATTTACTTCAGTCTACCTTTAGGACTTCAGATTAAATGTAGTTCCTACTTTGTGGGCACTGTGGGACAGAAGACACGGCACCTTGGGACAGAAGACACGGGCACTGTGGAACAGAAGACACGGGCACTGTGGGACAGAAGACACGGGCACAGTGGGACAAAAAACACGGGCACAGTGGGACAGAAGACACGGGCACTGTGGGACAGAAGACACGGGCACTGTGGGACAAAAGACATGGGCACAGTGGGACAAAGCGCACGGCACAGTGGGACATAGTACACAGGCACTGTGGGACAGAAGACACGGACACTGTGGGACAGAAGATACGGGTACTGCTGGGACAGCAGACACGGGCAATGTGGGACAAAAGACACGGGCACTGCTGGGACATAAGACACAGGCACTGCTGGGACAACAGACACGGGCACTGCTGGGACAGCAGACACGGGCACTGCTGGGACAGCAGACGCGGGCACTGTGGGACAAAAGACACGGGCACAGTGGGACGTAAGACACAGGCACTGTGGAACAAAAGACACGGGCACAGTGTGACATAAGACACGGGCACTGTGGGACAGAAGACACGGGCACTGTGGGACAGCAGACACGGGCACTGTGGGACAGAAGATACGGGCACTGTGGGACAAAAGACACGGGCACTCTGGGACAGAAGACACGGGCACTGTGGGACAGAAGACACGGGCACTGTGGGACAGAAGATACGGGCACTGTGGGACAGAAGACACAGGCACTGTGGGACAGAAGACACGGGCACTTTGGGACAGAAGACACGGGCACTGTGGGACAGAAGACGTGGGTACTGTGGGAAGAAGACACGGGCACTGTGGGACGAAAGACAAGGGCACTGTGGGACAAAAGACACAGGCACTGCTGGGACAGCAGACACGGGCACTGTGGGACAAAAGACACGGGCACTGTGGGACAAAAGACACGGGCACTGTGGGACAGAAGACAAGGGCACTGTTGGACAAAAGACACGGGCACTGTGGGACAGAAGACACGGGCACAGCTGGGACAGAAGACACGGGCACTGTGGGACATAAGACACAGGCACTATGGGACAGAAGACCCGGGCACTGTGGGACAGAATTCGCTGAAATAACAGTATATATCCAATCGGTTATTATACCTTCTATTATAAGACGGAAATAAAAGTCAAAGATATTAACACAAAAATACAAAACAAAACGAGTGCAGCTGATCTATTTTGGTAATATCAAGCGCCATGGCGGACTGGAAAAAAAAAATAAACAGAAAGCATGGTACCAGCAAAGATGGACTGGGGCCGACCTGCACTAAGATGGGTACAGGATATAAGTAACTCCTTGAATATAAAAGTGCACAAGGCGGGAGTGCTGGCGAGAGACTGAGTTTCTTTCAGGTAGACCGTGATGGGATGATGACATACATTTAAGTATTTAGGCAAATAGATAACATCAGACGAAAGATGTACTACATAGACACAAAGCAGAATACGACAGTCTACAGCTACATTTTACAAAGTGAAGAACATTTCATGCCAGAAATATATTTCATTAGGGTTTAGAAAAAAAGAATCATTGCATCCTGTATAGAGCCACTTTTAACTGATGGTTTTGAATCGCAGACTATAAACAAGCCACACTTTTTTCTGGAGGCCTCGGAAATGTGGTTTTACAAATGAATTCTCGGACAACCAAACAGACCAGCCCAGATATTTTTAACGAGGCGAGGGCTCGAAGACAACTGTTCACAAACATCAGGAAAAGACTGTCAACATTTGTCGATCATTTTATGAAGAGAAAGGAAACTGGAACATGTTGTGATCACTGAAAAGATATCGAGAGAGAGAGAGAGAGAGAGAGAGAGAGAGAGAGAGAGAGAGAGAAAGAGAGAGAGAGAGAGAGAGAAAGAGAGAGAGAGAGAGAGAGAGAGAGAGAGAGAGAAAGGGGGAGGTGGGGATAAAAGAAGACAACCCGAAAAGATTCTAGACAGTCTTGCGTCGTGGTGTGAGGGGCGTCGGCGCACAAACTGATGCTTGCTGTGGAGAGACATGATCGCCCACGCCAGTTGACAAGGCACATGACTATGAGACAATAAGAACATCAAATTATCTGTTGAGTAACAAAGAAACGTATGGTTAGGTATTTGGACTAAAAGCGTTACTTAAGATTTCAAGATTGTTTTTCTAAGCATTACACGCTGTTCATCAATTATTGCTCTGTCAAAGTACACTAGTCTATCACCTGGTAAAATCGTTACGGTGACCCTAATTATAACCTGTGAGGTCAACCGGGTATCTGGGATTTGCCCTATTGAGTCGACATCCAGTATGCGACTCTTCATTTTGAAGTCTTTCTATGTGGACTCCCGGCTCTCATTGTGGGGTAGGGAAGGGGGTGACTGACCGACTGTTCGCTAAAACTCATGTCGTAGGAGCAGAGATCGGGGCTCGAGTCGCGCAGCTTGGACTGAAGTCGCATAATTAATAACGACTTACGACTCGTTTTGGAGTTCTGATCAGCAACTCTCGGCTCATAAAATCTGTCATCTCCTTGTAGGATGCAATTTTTGTTATTTGAAGCCCTGCTCTGGCTCCTGCCAGGGGCCGCAATATAGCCCGGCCATAAATTTGGTCTAATGGTTGAACGCGGTTTCTGGGAACTCTCCATGACAGCATAAATTCTTTTTTCGATTTATCATGCTTTCTCATTCGACTTCTTCCGCTTTTATGTATAGTTTATAGAGTTTTTCGCACTGCCATTTCCGGGTTTAATTTTCGCCATTTTTTATTGATCTTTATCTTTGTTCTAGTAATTTTTTCAAAGTTTGCACGACCTTTAAATGACTTGGTACATGAAGTAATTTGACTCGAGATTCGACTCACAAGCATTCTTGATGACTTGAGATTTGGCTTGGGACTTAGGACTTGACTTTAGACTTCAAGGGTGACAACTTAGTCCAATCTCTCGGGGTTGCATGGTCTGAGAACTCATGCCGGAAGGATGAAATGCGAGGGTGCTCCACGCAGTAAACGCCGTCGCTAAACTACTACTCCTGTCGTTTAGGAACGACGGGCAGGGTGAACCCCACTCGCCCGGAGAGGCCCATGACGTTGACTGCGGAGGTGCAAATTTAATGATTCCCGAGGAAGTGCGTTCCAGGATCAGGTTTCCACCTGCGAGCGATAATGTGTCGTGGTGCAAGTTAGGGGGTACATTATGTGAGAAACTAATTCATGATTTAAAAAAGAAGTCGTTAGGCGACAAGCTTACAAACTTTGGTGAAGTAATATACGAACACTGTTCCCGTGAGTTCGGGACAGTGGAAAAGGCGCCGCCGGGCGTCAAGCAGAATTTAAGCAGGAGACAGAGGGACATTCTGAAATGTCGGGCAGACAAGAATGCCCTCAGAAAACGGTTCAAAGCCGCTACAGGCAGCGAACAGGAGGGGCTGTATGAAGTCTGGTTGCATTTGAGCGTTTCTGTAACAACAGGAGAAGAACCAAAAGGGAGCGAGAGAAATTCTTTAGGGACCCGAGGTCTATTCGAGCAACCGAAGTCTGGGACTCTTGTGGTCAGTAAAGAGGAGCTTGAGTCACATTTACGCACAATGTACTCTGACAAGAAGAGGAATGACCCTCTCGATAACAATCCAGAGATCCTTAGCGGCCTCAAGCAGCCTGAGTTGCCGAAGGTTTCATTTAAAGTGATACCTCCCCTTTGGTCTGAGGTTGAGGAAATTGTGAAAAGAGCCAGCGGCAAATCTGCCCCAGGTCCGAATGGTGTTCTGCACGTTCTTTACAAGCGTTGTCCGAAAATCCTACGAATGTTTCACGTCTTGTTGAGACAAGCGTGGATCCGCAAACACATATGTCCAGAGTGGCAAAAGGCGAACGGGGTCTACATTCCCAAAGAGCAGGACTCGAAGAGTCTTTCCCAATTCATGCCCATCTCGCTGTTGAATGTTGAGGGCTAAATTTTCTTCTCGGCCATGGCTCGCCGGCTCACATAGTATCTGATGGCGAACAAGTACATAGATACGAGTGTTCAAAGAGGTGGTATCCCGGGCGTTCCTGGGTGCCTTGAACACGCGACCATGATTTGGGAGTCTATCCAGAGGGCCAAGCATGAGAGAACCCAATTGCACGTTATATGGTTGGACTTAGCCAACGCCTACGGGGCAGTTTCCCATAGGCTACTGTGGCAGGCCTTTCGCATGTTTCACGTACCGATACAGATCAACGATATGATCGAGCAATATTTCTCTAAGTTCGCTTTGCGCTTCTCTACCTCGATGTTTACCACAAGGTGGACTGAGCTACAAGTTGGGATAGCTATGGG